TTATGGTGAATATGAAATGAGAAAAAATATATGAACATGTTCTGAAAAAATTCTGTTCTAAAGGATGCTCCCTCCCTAGGTCTAGGCCCTCAGCTATGCTGTCTTGTTTCTTTACTTTATAGCATGGAATGACTTGAAACACCTTATTTTTCTGCTTTTTTGTCTGACTCACTCCACTAGAATGTCAACTCCCCAAAGGCAGAAACTCTGTCTGATTAATAGCTGTGTCATCTGGCTTGGCGTGGTCTTGTTCTGAATGAATGTTTATTTTGTTACCTGATCACCAGACAAGCATACTTGCAGTCAGCCCTAGAAAATTTCTGAAGCAGACGAAGTTTGTCCTCGCTGACTCCTCTTCCCCATCCACCCTAGCCTCAGAAATGGACAACCGTCTCCTTCCTATGACTGGGGAATCCTCTGTGTATGAAGAATCCTCATCTCTCCCTAGAGAAGCTAAATGCCAGGTACCCATGGTCCAGCCTCCCTTGCAGCTAGGGTGCTGGAACTTGACTAGGCTCTGTCCTCAGGCTCACCTGCTGCACACTTTCAACTGAAAGCTAGTGATTTCAAGAAGGACTACACAACCTCCATCCTGCCAAGACTAGGCAGAGAGCCAGCTCTACTGATGGTCCCCACAGTAGTATCCAAGGTCCTGGGCTGGTACTGAAGGAGTAAGCTGCTATAACTGCACCCAAGATGTATCATCACTTGGTCAGATCCATGGCATGATTTTGGCCCTTGCTCCTAATTCTGTTACCTCCAAGCTTGATTCTTTTGGCTATTCTGGATATTCTCTAGATACAACTTTCTTTAATTAGTGCTTTTTCATTTAAATTATCAAAGACTGGTTTGTTGCTTGGCTGACAGGATCCTCCAATTCCCCAATCTCCATCAGACTGAGTGTGATCCTGGTCTGCTAAGGGACCCTGACTAAGCTATCCTCCTAGAAATTACCTGCTCCCCCTCCCCAGCCCTTTTCCTTCTTCTCTCAGATCAAATTGCACATTTCCTAGTGCCTTTTCCCTTAGGACCTTACATTCTATAAGGGATGGTCTGATCAGTTAATTCAAGCCAATGTGTTCATTGCTGATGCTAATTTACTATCACCTCAACAATTTAGCAGATATTTTTTAAGCTTCAGAGCAAAGGAGAAAGGAATGTGCTTTTACCATCACACAGTGTCAGGGCCTGTGAGAATTCTACTCTTTGTCTGCAGTCTCAAAGGTCCTACATCCATCAACACATATCACGTATAGTCCAATGATAGGTGCACTGTGGGACAATCATATAGTGACATTGGTGCTATTTATGGACTCAGTCTTTACCTCATGATCATAAACATGCATGCACATACACAGACGTTTGCATGCACACAGACACACAACCCTACCTACCTTTTCTCCTGGAAAGATTAACTAAGACAAATTCCTGGCATGAAGTCCTTAAAAAATTATCACTACGTGTTTCTTTTAATTAACAAATACTTCTGTATCTATATTACTAGCGCTGGGCCTGATATATATGTAAGGCCTGATCTATAATTTCAGAAGATAATTTTGCTTCCAATATATAACTAGCTAGTTTATACTATTTCACTCAGTTAGACAAACATATACAGATTTTTTAGTATTTGCTAGGTACAGCTTTCGGCCTCGACCATAAGGAATAGCATATTCAATTCCTGTTTTCAAGGCGCTGACAATTTCAATCATACCTGACAGATGAGACCGCCTACGTTCTTAAAGATCTCTGAGAAGATCTCACCACACTACGGGCAACTGCCACACTCAATTCTCAGTTGTCTGAGCAATTTGTGTGTGTGTGTGTGTGTGTGTGTGTGTGTGTGTGTGTGTGTGTTTCCAATTCCTTGAGAATCAATGCATCTTCATTTCCTCTTATTCTGGGTGTCAGAAGAGAAAAAGAACAGTTGGTCACCATTCTTCCCATAATAAGCCTTTACGCCCTGAGAGTTATTGAGTTATACCCCTGTCTTCTCTTTCTAGATTAAATAATTCCAATCCCTTTAACCTTCCCTCGGAGGTCCTATTTGCCAGCCTTCAGTTTAATCATTCACTGCTTCCCTCTGGAGCCTCCCCAAGTCTTCTGCATTAAAATCTGTTGCTTTTGCCACTGAGTTCACTCTTCTAAGCAACTTATTCTCTCACATAAACCAAGACAAAAGGAAAGCAACCCTCAGATAGAAAAGGGAGAGAGTAAGTAGAAGGGAATTCAAGTAGGACACTCACACGCTCAGAGCAAATCAGCATTTGCTATCACCACTACCAAGAAGAAAGGGCCAAGACCCAAAGAATCTCTAAATAGTGCGAACCATTTTGCTTGACAAATATCTAAATTACTTTTAAGCAGATAAGGCTATTAACAACAAACTTGAGGCTTGCTTTAGTTACACCTGAAGTTCTCAGATGAGTGCTAATAAAATCGCTCTTAATAAGATCAAACAGGAGTTTCTGACTCTCTGAAGTACTTCTGGCTGCCAAGCAGACTGTCCAGAGGTTACTATGTTATTCTGTTACTCACAGGCAGTGCCTTTGACTGGGAAATCCTGGCAAAGCACAAAGGATCCTTCTTTGCACTCTGTCAATCAATATAAATTAATATTTCCTGAGCTGAGAGGGCAGGAATTCTAAATGACTCTTAAGAAATGATGTATAGAGGCGGATCAAATACATGCTGATCACTGTATGGTACCAACATATGCAGAAGGGGGCAGACGTGAAACCTGGAGCTGTAGTCAAAAGTCTCTTCAAGATAAGCATGGTGACTTGTCAGATTTCTTTCTACCGAGATCCCTCACTGCCTTTTCCTCTCATTGTGCCTCTGAGATGAACTTACCCTCTGTGAGTCAGTCAAGTGCCTCTACTCACACACACACACATACACACAGAGTTAAGATTCTACTGACACACATTTCCAAATCCTCTCAAGAAACTAGGAAAACTCTCCCTGAACAATATTCTGCCTGTTTCAAAGACTTCTTTGATTTGAAACCACTGTTTAGGAAAAAAAAAAGATTTTCCCATCTGGAAAAGTTAAAAGTATACAATTAGTGTGAAAAGAGTTGGTTAGATGTGGGGAGGTGGAGCGAGAGAAACTGCTGGCTCCCCTGGGCAAACAGGGAGCTAGTGCTCCTCTAGTCCACATTCTGAAGCCACTGTGGCTCTGGTCAGCCCCCGAGAACTGGCAGGGCTGAGAGAGGTCTGTCAGCGGCAGTCCTGGGAGGACCAACTATACTCCGAAAAAGTCTCCTTGCCAAGTTCTCTCAAAACACTCTCAGTTCTGATAACAGAACAAATGCATGACTTGGTGTGGAATTTTCCCGGGAGGTGTAGTCCCAAAGACAGTTCAATCTATCAAACAATGACTTAAACCCTAAGACTAATGGAATTAATAACGTGATCTTTAAAGAATCAGCAATTTAGATGGCCAAGAACTTATAACCACAGCATCTTAACAAGAAGCGCCCTCCTGGGTGAAAACAGACAATTCGTTAAGCTGTTTAATTATCAGTGTTGACTCATTACATCCCTCCTACTCTTGCTGGCTCTTCACGCCCAGGCACACGCCGCAGGTGCGTGTCCACCAGAGCGCAGGAAGCACACAGGTACACAAAGGCCAGTGCTAAGTGCAGGCACAGTTCAGCTCTGGGAGCTCTAAAACCGTGCCCGGTAAAGCCATAGCATATTAAACAGTTCTGTGTTAAGAAATAGATGTTGTAATGGGATAATTACCATTATTACAAAGGCAAGATCCCAATTATGAAGGGAACTACAGATCGCCCCTGATTTCACTTATTTGATGGTAAAGACAGTCTTGTAAATTCTTACCAAGTGGTAAGAAAGTGAAAGTAGGGTGCTGACATTGATGTATGTTGCCACGTTACTTTGTAGTGGCCACGGCAAGTGGCTAGCAATGCTGGATGAGTGAATCACAAGCAGACACAACTCAGGGCTCCCTCTCTTTATTCAAATATGTACTTACACAAAATCGTTTCAAAGAAACAGCAGTTTGCACCACCCACCATAATCCACTGCAACTTGGGAAGCAATTTTTATCCCACTCGAATTTGAGAAATAAGATCACCAATACCAAACACTGGCATTTCTACACTGGGAAGGTTAAAAGGAAATATAAACAACAACAACAAAAGTGAGAAAATAAATAGAAGGAAATGAAGAGAAAGGGGAGAAAAACAAGACGAAAGAAAACTGAGATAAGTGAATGTTAAAAACATCCGTCTATAAAGAGCAAGTAACATTTTCAGTAAAGCTTTTTTGGATCTGAAAAAGTAAAACAAAATTCCTGCTGACTTTCAAAAGCCAACCCTTGGGTCATTCTTTAAAAAAAAAATAGCCAGCAGATTAGAGGAACTCCATTTATAAAAATCAAATAAATGAACCTCTAACAAAGCTTGTTTGGGACATGAATAAATCATCTGGTCATGAATTATTCATTGTTATCAAGAAACAGGCTGAAGGTTCCAGGAACTGGGCTTAGGGAGGTACTGAAACCAGGGAGTGAGCGAGTTCATTGGCTCACACCCACCGTGGGAAGGGAGAGGACGGGCCACGGGGGGACTGGCAACCGCTGCAGACCATTTTGGACCCTGACTCGAGGTTCAGGAGACACCCTAGCAGCCTTTCCATCCCAGAGCATAAAGCAAATAAGAGTTGAATCCACAGAAACTCACCTTAGAAAACGGCATGTACTCGGTAACAGACAATAAGACTTTTTGAGCATTAGATCTTTTTTCTTTTAAATGCATCACACACGGGGAATATGAGCTGTGTGCAACAGCTAGGAGGAATTGAAAGTTTGCATTTAAAGGAGAGAGCTAGAAAATTCCTTAATGATACACTGTTAAGAGTAGTCTGACCTACTCATTCATGGCTTTCAGGTTTGGGCTTTATATTGGGGTTGGGGAGGGAAGAAAGGGAGCCTCTTAGATTTAATCAACTAATCCACATTCGTATGTGTTCCAGGTCCAAACTGCTTTGCAGGAACTACGATAATTCCGGCTGGCATTGAAGTGAAAGTGGATGAATGTAACATCTGTCACTGTCACAACGGGGACTGGTGGAAGCCTGCTCAGTGTTCCAAACGTGAATGCCAAGGCAAGCAGACTGTGTAGGACAGATTCCCAACCGACGACGAGCTCTTAGGAGAAGATGCTATGGCTTCGACGTTGCACACGTTTGAAACAAGACAGAACAAACTCCTGCCAGCTACAACAGGGTCACCAGCAAAACCTTCTAGGGTTGACAAAAGTGAATATTTTACTAAGAGGAAATTTCTCTTTCTTTCTTGCTATATAAAATATACATAGTATATAGCTATAAAAACCGCTTTTGTAATTATCCATGCTTGATGGTGACTTGACATCTGGATTTCTGGGACAAAAAGAAATAGCCTCATAGGGGCTCCTTCTCTGGTGACATCTCTGGCCTGCCAGCTCATCATCTACTGATTTACTCCATTTTCTACTCTTCTGTAAACATGGCATTTTTTGCTCTTGTAGTAAGTTTTTCCTCTTTGTAGTCTAAGGGGCCAGATTTGACTGCAAAGTAAAGTTCTGAGTTGTGTCAAACGAGCTTTGGTAAAGCAATGTCAGTAGGGAGGACCCTTCCTGACCAGGAAGATGCAAAAGCATCCAACCAATCGCCTCCCTCGAGGGAGTCATGCCCTGCAGGGTCAGGAGAGAGATGCGCACATGGACAGACCCCTGCTGGGCTGGGTGGGGAACCGGCGCGTGGTGCATTACGCAGGGTGTCACAGTTCGATTCTTAGAAACCACACGTTTTATACACCAAACCTGGAAGCTGCCAATCAAAAAGTAATATATGAAGAACACCATGAGCTTGACTGAAGAATCCAAAGGGAGACAGGTAGTCAGAACTGCAGCGTTCATCACCAGACTGTCTCATGATGCTGAATTTAAGTTCGGCTTGTAACTAAACACACTCTGAACCCGCTCTGTCACCTGGCGCGGCAAACACCAGAACCAGGGTGAGTCGCCCCACTGTGAATCTGAATCCTTCTGAACACTTCTGGCTTTTGAGTTCAGGTCTGGCTGAAAGCCAGTAGTCTACACAGGCAGTGTTTCCAGTCCGGGACTATGTCTGCCGCATTATAGTAACAGCCGCTCAGCCCTGTGTCTAAAACCCTGATTCAGGACACTCTTTCCACCTCAAGTGCTGATTTAAATTAAAGATTAGGGTAGAGGAGTCTTGCACAATACAATTCCATTTGTTGAACTTCTTTTTTAAATGTATATATTAAATACTGAACAATTAAAGTGAACCTTTGAAGAGACTCAAGGTTGCCCTGGTAATGCTGCTAGTATAGTAATAGAAAAAATAAAACACACAGGGTATCTGACGCCACCTGGATTCAAGTACAAATTTAGCAAATTCTGAAACCACATGGCATAGCTAGTCGTTTATTCCACTCTCTGTCGATAACCCTGGCGCAGACCTGGCAGGGTCCTTGAGGAAACTTGAAGGTTGTCTTCATTGTCGACGTTCTTTCCTTTTCTGCTCCCACCCCCACCCCGGGCTTGGCCACAGCTCCTGTGGAGTACCGCATTCCAGCACTATTGACGTTTGGGGCCGATTGTTGTCGGGAGCTGTCCTGCGCATTTTTAGGATGCTTAACAGCATTCTTGGCTTCTATCCACTAAAAGCCAAGAACAGCACCCTAACTATCACAACAGAATGTCTCCAGACATTGCCAAATGTCCCCGAGGTGTGGGAGAGGGGCAAAATTTCACCTGGCTGAGAACCAGTGGTCTAGAATAATCAGTATGACGTGGTTTTCTACCCAGGGGACAGACCAGGCAAGGTCTGGCTGAGGCTGGGGCTTTGCTGAGCCTCTGAGCCCTTCCAGACGGGCACCATCAGCAGCCCTGACGGGGCGAGTCAGTCTCCTCCCAAAGGAGTGATGCTTCTACGCCACAGGTCCACCCTCAGGACACACATTTCTTTAGTCTCATCAGCTGGGTTTTCATTTAAAATTGTCAAGCCTCTCCTCCCTGGAAGCACCTCCTGTCATCAAGAAGGAGTTGTCATTTTCAAAATCAATGCGTTGACGAGTTGGACCTGACACTTCTCACGCACACCTTGCTCGTGTTATGACACAAATAGCCACGCCGGCGCCATCCGAGGAAGAACATCGAGCCGCCTTCCCTTAGAACACAAATTTGCATCAAGGTTGGTGCTTTTCAGTTGCCACCCTGGATACATCATATAGACAGTCATGAATAATTCATGAACCATTCATGAACAATTCTGCATGATTTATTCCTGCACTCCAAAGTAAAGGCACTCCACACTTCAGCCTGTGTCTGGACAGAGATGTATTATAGAGCTTTCTCTGCCCTGAGGTTGCCTATTGCCAGCTTCAAAAATCTACACTCTTGGAAAGAAATAATCATAATAATAAATGACAGGAATAAGGTTTGAAACCCAGAAAACATCATTAATAGAGCCATGTAGCATAGTATCCCATCTATTATTAAGGAGTTACTATGTCCTTTTTAGGAAATGAAAGGAGAGAACAACTGGGAAGCCAGGCTACAGAAATTTTGCATCAAAGTCTTGGCACAGTGATGGTCACAGCAAGAAGTTTCTGGAATGGAGTATAACATCCAACAAGAAATTCTCTTCAGAGAGTTTGCAGAATGAAGGCTGCTCAGCGGCCTCTGTTACCAATCAGAGGGTTTTTTTTTTTTTTGTCCTCGGCTCCTACCCCCACCACCTCCAGAGTTTCACTACAAGCTGTTTCCTTTAAGACTCTGTAGCACTGACATTTCCCCCCTTTCGGGAGAGATGAACCTATACTGTGACAGAATTTCTCATCAACTGATAAACATTTTACAACTTCTTTCTGCCCAGGTCACTGAGAAATTCTTTCCAAACTCTGTAGAGTTCTGGTCTTATCTGTGGTTGTTGTTTTTTGATACTTTTTGTTTTTTTCTTTTGAAAGCTCTGTTTGCAGCCACCCTGTCACCTCCACCCTCCTATTTCTCCTCCGCCTTTGGTTCTTGGCTTTAACCACAGCTCTGTTTAAATAAGGGAGCAACATCCGGTTTGTTAGCTGATGCCTGTTAAAAAAACGATTCAGTTCCTAAAATCTTTGAAAAACGGTGTGCCTGAAAACTCATGAGAAAACAAACAAAACTTAACATTAAACTGTAAAAAAGGGGATTCTAGCAACAATATTTGATGTGTAAAAGAATATATTATTAAAAAATTATTTTGTTAAATATAAAGTGTGTTAACCAGCAAACGCTGTTTGTGGACTATTTCTCTTCCTAAATTTCTCCCTTTTCCCTGCTCTTATCCTTTAATGACTCATTCTCAGGGACTCCTAGCTGACCAAACATGTGTCATTAGAGCTCTATTCGATTAGAATTAAGCGTTAGCTCTAGCAATGGCCAGTGTACATTTTTTATTTTTCATTATGTAAGGCAAGGTTGACTTTGGGATCAGAGAGGAACTCAAATACACCAGCAGTGAGAGCGTAAGTGTTGGGAACAATACTTCCCTGACCCGTATCCACGCACACTACTAGTGATAACCTGGAAGCACTGACACCTGCTCTGTGGCAGCCCCCGTGCTATGCACTGAACCCGCAGTGTTCTGTTCCATCCACACAGCACACCTACCAGGAAGGGACTCTTATCATCTCTGCTTTGCTGTTAAGGAAACCAGGATACAAAGAAATCAAATGCTTTGCCCAAGCTCATTGGATCCTAAGTGGCAAAGCAGAAATTTTTTTACTGTAATTGAGAAAACTGTCAAAGTAACCATGGAGTAACCATTGCCCAGATCCAACAGTGCTGAAGATTTTGCATAAGGCTTCAACTCTTTTTTTGAGTATTTGAAAGCAAATATCAAGTATATCATTTCATCCCTACATCTTGCACAATTTATCTCTTTGAAAACAAAGGGATAGTTTTTTTAACCAAACCTAATAACATTAATAATTATTTCTAAATATCATCTAATATCCAGTTTATATTCAAATTTCTTAGATTTTTTAAAATATGGGGGAGAGAGAGTGCCTGCATGAGCCAAACCGTCCATAACATTGCATTTGGCTATTACGCCTCCGAAGCCCACAGCAGGAATTTGAACCCTGCCCACTGACAGTTGTGAACTCTCACAAACACCTGGGCTGGCTGTCATTGGAGGTTTTGTGCTGGGGAAAATCACTCCTTTACAGTCCATGTTAAACTCCCCCCTAGACACTGAGCAGGGCAAGCAACCAGCAAGAGGCTTTCTACCAATTGATCTCCGAGGGACAACAAAGAACCCAGAGCAAGAACCACCACCAACGATCAGCACCCAGAGGATGCTGCCTTTTACCCGTGTGTAAGCTTTTCTCAGGGAGTAAGAGTAAACTGTGATTTTCCTTCTCTTTGAGACATACATACTGTCTAGTACAGAGTAAGGCTGAACAATACACTATAAATTGCCATCATCATCTGCACTGTTAGCGGACAAAGGAAAAAAGCCAACCACCAAGAAAACATCAGCATGGAGTCCCCACACACTTGTATAGACACCCTGCCTCTCCACCAGCATTTTCTTAAAACAAGATTAGACTGTCTTGCTTTTCAGTTTCCCATGTGTTCAGTTCTCCGCTCCCAATATCCCTTGCCAGGGATTGTTTACAGTTCATTTCTGATTCAAGTTTCCTGGAAGGACACATCAAAGCAGAGGAAAGAAAGCTATGAGCTGTGACAGAGTCCTAGGTTTGTCATTATTTCAAGGTTTATGTTGGGTAACCACTCTTTTAAAGAAAGGTACCTTCCTGATTTTGAAGGACAGATGCTGTCTGTGTGCTGGCAACCTCACCTATACACTTTTAACCCATTTGGAAAGGGTTTATATCTCAGATTGGCCAGGGAGGGGACAGTCTGACTAATGAGCCTCAAACACCTGTTTCTTCCTGGTCAACCTCAAACATCCACAAGGTATATTGTTCTTTTGATGAGTTGGTACCATAGTGCCTTTCATAAAGTAAGAGTTACATCGATTGAGTTAAAGGAATTTCTTTCATTTAATTTTAAGGACTCAAAATTAGTTTTATATTCCAGACATTTTCAGTTGTGATAATGATTTGATGACTTTTCTCTCGAAATTGGAAAATCTTGAACTCACCATTCTTTGAAGCCCAAACTCCAATTTAATCCCAGTACTTGTCTTACTCTCTGGCTTTTAAAAAGCTATACTTATTAAGTTTGAGTTGTAGAAATGTTCATATGAATAGTTATGAGGTGGGGGAGGAACATGGATACAAATTACCATATCTTGCGCCCCTTCTGTGAGTCAGACACTACATTGGCTACTTTACGTGAGATGATTTACATTCATCAGGTCAACTACTCTCATAACTATCATGAAATCTTGAACTGGTGTTCCCATTTTGCAGACTGACACAGTGAGATCCAGAGAGGTTTTGTGATTTTCTTGGGCTCACACAATTAGAGCCAGAACTAGCTTTTATGTCAGAGTTGTAAGTATTAAACAGAGCATTACCCATAAAATAGCTTAGAATAGAGTCTGGCACATAAGAGTATTGGGTGTTAGCTATCACTATGAGGATTGGCTACAGTGTGGTAAGAGAGATCTCATGGAGAAGGCAATCCTGAGTTTGGATCATGCAGCTTGAGTACAAGTTGGGCAAGAATTTAAGGGATGATGCTATAGCATATGAAAAATGAATAGTGTCTTTGCAGTGTGACAAGCAGTTAGGTGTGACTTGAGAGTGAAGTCGCAGGTGGTGGGACACAGTGAGAGATGCGTCCAGGAAGG